GGAGGGAGGGGAAAATGAGGAATTGATATCAAGGGCTCAAGTAGAAGGCAAATGTTTTGAAAATGATGATGACAACAAATGTATAAATGTGTTTGACACAATGGATGTGTGCATGGATTATGATAAGAGTTGTATGAACCTCCCAATAAAATGATTTAAAATAAGAATGGGAATTCCAGATCACTTCGTTTTGTTCATTTGGAGCTTGAACATGGATCCAGAGGCAGCGGTGTGGCCGTGCAGGGAATGCTGCATGGTTTGTAATAAGAGAAGGGGTGTGTCAGGGTTGGATCCTCTCACCATACTTATTCAATCTGTATGCTGAACACATCATCCAAGAAGCTGGGTTATATGAAGAATGGGGCATCGTGATTGAAAGGCAGCTTATTAACAACTGGAAATATGCAGACGACATAGCCTGACTTGCTGAAAGTGAGGAGGACTTGAAGCACTTGCTGATGAAGATCAAGGATTACAGCCTTAAGGATGGATTACAACTCAATGTAGAGATCAGAATCCTCACAGCTGGACCACTAGGAAACAAATGGAGAAAAGACTGGCGTCAAGGACTTTATCTTACTTGAATCCACAATCAACGCTCATGAAAGCAGCAGTCAAGAGAGCAAATGATGTATTACATCGGGAAACTGGGGTGCAAGTCTGAAAAGAGCAGAGATGTCACTTTGAGGATGGAAGTGACCATGCTGTTTTCAACAAGACTCTCCTGCCCATCAATCCAGATCCTTGTATTCAGACACTGTTGTTTTAAACAGCTGAGTTTGTTGTTGTTGTTGTTTTCCAGTGCATCCATTTCTATCATTTGTTGCCTATAGCGTGGGGCACCTTTCCCTCAGTGCCTTCCCTCCACATCCTTATACTGATCCTGGATTTGGTCTGTAGCCTTGATCCAGCTCTCCCCTTGCCCGCCTTCTCTTAAGTCATTTCCCTGTGACTTCTAGGCCAAAGTCAGCTGACCTTGACTTTGCTTGCTCAGGCGCCAAGCCTGCCAGGGATTTTCCTATTTCTCTTCAATGCTTCCCCAGTGAGGAAAGGAAAGTTTGACCTCTGCCCTCAACTCCTATCTTCTATTGTCACTGAAGACAAATTCAATGTATTGCACACCCAAACCCACACAAGTGTTCAATCCTGATATGTGTTATTAGGTAGACACCAATGATGAAAAGTTTCAAAAGAACTTGCCGTACTCAGCCTTACATGCAGGTTGTGCACTAATTTCCTCAAGCATAACATTCCTTCTCATTTACACAGAACCTTGGATATTAAAGCTTGCCTCTGCTTGAATGACTTGCACAATATCAATAAGCCTTATTATCTTTCATTTTGCGTACATGAAATGCAAAGTTCAGAGAAGACACAGGGTAGAGTGAAGCAGTGTAGTTCAAAGGTAAGTCAAAAGGTATTGTTACCGAAGTTCCAGTTCATTCATGTATGAAAAATAATGTTTAAACATGTCTCTGAGATCAGTGGATGGCTGTAGACAAGTTCTGGTAAAACACTTATCTTAGTCTCATCACCCAAACGCCAAACTCACCACCAGTGAGTTGAGGCCAACTCATAGCGACCCTGTAGGACAGGGTTGAGCTGCCTCTGTGAGCTTCCAAGACGGTAATTCTTCATGGGAATAGACAGTCTCATCTTTCTGCTGCGGAGCCGCTGGTGGGTTTAAACTGCTGACCTTGTGGTTAGCAGCCCGACATGTTTCGTTAGAACACATTAAAAAAAGGGGGATACTACAAAAAAAGTGCACAAAGGTCAACTCATTCAAAGAGCTGATCTTTCCCTCGGTCTTTTACTCAATTTGGAAGCTAATGAAGATGATTTTATGAAACAAATTATAGTCTTGGATTTGCCAGTAGGATCCAGAGGGGTCATCTTAGCAATGTTTCTGAAGGACACTGGATAGCCACAGGGGGTTATTAGGCTTGTTAGGAAGAGGTTTTAAGACAATTGGAAGCTGCATTGATGAGAAAATGGCCAGTTAAAAGTGCACCTAAGCTTGCTTCCCTGATCTTGGTAATGCACCTTCGAGGACGGCAAGGGCTGTCCTAGGAGAATTTTGCTGGCAAACCCTGACCTTGCCTTTTCAGACTTCCTTTTGTTCCCCAAGCTCTAAGAGCATTTAAGAGAAATATAATTTGAGTCCCTAAAGCTGCTGTATTGATGTAGTGTAAATTTAAGAGCCCCAAATTCTTTGAAGATATGGAAACGCCCCTTTCAGAAGTGTGTAAACCTAGATGGAGGACACGTAGAGAAACAGTAGCTTCACATTCTAATTTTGTATTTAATACATATTTCTCCACTTTTGTAGCAATACTTTTTTACTTCTTCCTGTATTTAGGATATAGGTAAGAACCTGGATTCCCCAACTCCTAGCTTTGTCAGCTCAGAGTAAGGCAAAAGTTGGGAACCAGCTTTCACATAAAAAGTTTTGGTAACTGAGGCTAAGAAAAATATTTTGAGAACATTTATAAAATTTCTTAATAGACATAGTCCTCATTGAAAGGCATTTTTTTCCAGTGGTATTCCCAGTATTCCTAAGAGAGGGGGTGTGGTTTTAGGTACATACACCACTTGCAGACAAGATACTTGAGAAAAAATGCTGTTGTTGTTTCTTTGGCAAAGGATATTTGGGTTGATGTAGTGTATGGGTATTGGTTTTATGATGTTTCTTAATGTATGGTTCCTGAGTTATCAGTTGACTTGTGAAAACAGCATTCTAGTTTAGAATGTTAGGGTGATATTTCCCAAAAAGAGATATTGAAGTCCTAACCTGTGGCTGTGACTTTGTTTGGGAAAACATGGTCTCTGTAGGATCAAAGAAGGGTCCAACTACATTAACAAACTTTCCATTTATTTACACAGATTGCTTCATAGAGACTCAAGCCCTTTCCTCGCCAACACGTCAGCCCTGTTCAGGAAGACCGTGTTTGTAGAGTTCACAGATCACCTTTTCATCACCGCCAAGCCCAGGCCACCTTGGATGGGTAATGCAAACAGCCTTGGCTATTTAATCTGGAAATGGTGTAGCTTGTCTTCTAGCAAATATTCGCTAAACTTGGGCTAGAGTTCAAGAAGACGGCTGCCAGAGAGAATGGTGTCTTGTAGCTGTCACTTCTCAGGGAAACCAGAGGAGACGCCTGATGGAAGAGCCACACCCTTCTTTCCTTTCCAGTCTTTTCTCTGCTGCGCAAGTAAAAAATCTGTTTACATTTTATAAAATCTAAGTTCATCCAAACTTCTGTGGTCTATGAGGTCCTACAGAGATTATTCCTTGCCTATCTCTATGACCTGGTTTTATTCCCCTGCTTCTGCCATATGTTACTCAACCGTGCCAGACCTGTGGCTGCTTTAGGAGTTTCCATTTGTTTGATCTGCCTTTGCAAGTGTTGTTCCTTTTTCAATAGTCATATCTCTGTTCAAATGCCAGCTCCTTCGGGAGGCTCTTCTTGACCACTATATTGAAAGGATTCCCTGCTGATGGCCTCATCATTTTCTAGCACACAACTATTTTGTGTAATATTTAGTACATTCTTAAATTTTATTGTTTACTCATTTAATGTCTCTCGAATGTGGTCTGCCCAATCTGCCTGATTGATCTTTGTTTGGATTATCAAGTGTTGCTACAATAGAAATATCAAATGGATGGCTTTAACGAACAAGTGTTTATTCTGTCGTAATGTAGAAAGCTAGAAGTCTAGATTCAGGGTGCCGATTCTGGGGAGTTGGGAGGGGCGTTTCCTTCTCTACCAACTCTGGAGGAAGGTGCTTTTCTGAGTTTCAGATTCTGGGCGATCTTCGTGTGGCTTGGCATTCCTCTTCTATCTTTGCTTCCTTGCTTGCTTGTTTAATGTCTTTTCTACATCAGAAAAGATGGGCTCTGCTTCTAGTCAAATGACAGACTAAGCAGACATGCTGCACACCCTCTCTAAAACAAAGATATGGGAGACTGGATGAAACAGATATGGATGATCATCCTGGGACCCTGAACTGCAGAGGAAAGGATAGAGAAATGGATTGAATAGAGACTAGAAGAAGAAACAGAACAAAACTGCAAGAGAGGAGACAGATGGGTGGATTGTTAGCTGGCTTGATGAGGCATGGCTCTCTTGAAATTTTGCAAACAGCATTTGATGGAAAACAGCAGCCCAGCTACATGAAAGCATAGCAGTGCCTGTCAACAAGAAAGGTGGAATCCTCCCTCCTGCCCCATACCCTTCTGGTGACCAGAGGATCAGCAAGGTCCCACGTCCACCTATCCAGTGACACAGTGACCGCCCTCCCTCCACCTCACCCCCACCTCCCAGCTGCCTGAAGTCCGAGCCATGCCCTCTGGGCCTGGGCTCCCAGTGTATCTCTGTTGTGCTGGGAGGCACAGGAACATACCGTGCCAGTACCCTGCCACTCTTGAGTAGGCACGAACTCCTTCCACACCAGTCATTCTCCCTCAGCTGTCCCCAGGCCCAGGGTGAGGGGGGGTTCTTCTGGGAATAAGCACCGGGACCTCAATCACCCTCTAAGCCAAGACAAAGTACTTTCAGATCATCTACTCTGACCTGACACAATATCTAGGTTGGCAGGATTGGACATCCCACCGTCTTTCCCACCCCGTTCCCCGTCCTGTGCGCTCCTTGATGGCAAGGGGCGTTAACTCATACTGGATACCCTGTTCCCCAGCACTTTTCTCCTCTCTGGGTCCTGCTCTTGCTTTAGCCTTTTCCCCCCTCTCTCTTCTTTATTTTTATTCTTTCTTTCTCTGCTTTCTTCCTTTCTTTTTCCCTATTGCTTATTTTTGTTTTGGGTCAATTTTTCTTGTTCTACTCAATGATAGACAGCAATGCTATCCCAAACCTGAACCTCCTGCAGTCGCACTCCCAGGACGAGAGTCACTACTTTTTCCACTAACCCTGATCACTGATAGATAGTGGCCAACATTAGATAAGGCTTCCCTCAACTGAGCTTCACTTCTATCTCACTCACCAGGAGGCAGGTGGTGAGTGATGGAGAACACACCAACCTGCAATCATTCTATGCCTTTGCGACCAAAAGACCTAGATGGGGCCTGGCTACCACTGCCAACTGCTCTGGAAGGGATCACATTAGAAGGTCCTGGAGAGAGCAGAAGTGAAATGTGGACTGGAACTCAGAGTCCTAAAAATGACTAGGTTTATTGAGCAGCCCGAGGCTGCTGGAACCCCCGAGGTTGTGGCCCTTCAGGTCTGAAATGGAACTCGCCCTCCGAGCTCAGTTTCTAAGCAGGTGAGTCTGTAGGGGGGCACTAATACTAGAGAGGTAGTGGGACAATCAGCCACTTGAGATAAAAAAAGGGAGCATGTCCTCACGGACAAAGGTCAGAGGGTTAGGACGGGACAGGGAATGGAAAAAGGAGACACAGCGAGGAATTGGGCGAAGCAAGGCTGCATCAAGGGGTTCTCCATGGATGAATTGAACCAGAATGCGTGTGAAGTGGTGAATGGGCAACTATTACCTGCTCTGTAAACTTGCACCCAATTCACAATCAAAAGTTTTAAAGAGAGATCAACGCAAGAGTACGCCACACAAGTCCTGTCTCATTAACATAACAGAAATAACCTGTTTCCAAATGTCATTATAATCACAGGTTAGGATTTGCAACACACACACATTTTGGTGGAGAAAATCAACAGACTCCAAGTAGGTTCCGACTCAGACTGATGCTATGCCTGGCCCTGCGCCATCCTCCTGATTGTTCTTCTGTTCGAGCCCATCACAAGAGCCACCATGGCAATCCATCTAGTCAAGGGTTTCCAGGGACTGATCTCCGAAACACTGGTCTGCCATCCTTTTTTCTAAGGAGCATTCTGACTGGACTTCTTCTCAGACAGATTTGTTTGTTCTTTGGCACTGCACAGTACTTTAAATATTCTTCACCAACACTGAAATTCAAATGGAATCCCTTACTCAATGCCCAACTTTCACATGTATATGAGGCAGTGGAAAATTCCATGACTTGGGGCAGGCACACCTTAGTAATGGCTTTACTTTTCAATACTCTAAAGAGGTGTTGTATAGCAGATTTACCTAATGCAATGCATCGTTTCGTCTTTTGAGTGTTGCTTCTATAAGCATTGATTGTGAATCGCAGCAAGACAAAATTATTGACAACTTCAAGCTTTTTCCCATTGATCATGATGTTCCCTGTTGGTCCACTTGGGAGGATGTTGGCCTTCTCTACATTGAGTTGTAATCCATGCTGAAGGCTGCAGTCCTTGATCGTCATCAGTAAGTGCTTCCAGGCCTCTTCACTGTCAGCAAGCAAGGTTGTGTCACCTGCATATCACAGGTTGTTCATAAGCCCTTCTCCAATCTGGATGCCGCATTCTTCTCCATAGAATCCAGCTTCTCTGAAGATTTGCTCGGCAGACAGATTGAACAAGCCTGGTGAGAGAGCACACCCCCTACGCACATTGTCCTGATAGTAAACCATGCTGTGTGCCCTGGTTCTTCCTCAGTCTTATTCTGAGTACCGTGTGACACAGTTCTGCTGCTATTCAAAGTATCTGACAATGTTTCTATGCGATCCAGAAAATGTTCAGTTGCTATTTCCTCATTTTTGTAGGTCTGTTGGGTCCTACCATCCGGACTGAGGTTTATGATACAGTAATCATTACACTTAAAAATATGGCTTCTCATCCTGTCAGCCTTCATGCTGTTGGCATATCCTACTGGAAAGCTTCCGAAGGTGAGCGCAGTGCCCTCTTGTGGTCAGTCTGGAGAGGTAAGCGTGAACCCCGTGTTCTCGGCGAGGGTGCCGCACCTTGGATTTTGTGTGCTTTCCTTCCTCTTGGTTTTCTTGCCAGGTGGGCTTTTCGTGCTGACAAAGTGAGCCTCCATCAGCACAGACACCCCCGGTTCTCTCCCTTATCCCTCCCTGGCCCTCACCATCATCTAGTCCAATGTTTGACACAAAATCCATAGCCACTACGTGTTTACTGAGTTGAATCGACTTGAGTTCGAATGGAAACAAGGCATTGATTGGTCAGCAAGAACTGGAGATCTCAGTAAGAAGCTAGCTCACTCCGTGTCCATCGAGTCCATTAGTGAAAATAAGCACTATGTGTTCCCTTGAGTCAACCACGCACAGAAAGGACACTTTTATCCTTCTTGCTTTAGGAGTTGAATATGATGATAAGACCAGCCAAAAGGAGAAAGAAGATGGTCAAGTCCTTCCTGGGGAGAGCCACACCTACATCTGGCAGGTCCTCAAGGAGAACGGTCCAATGGCTTCCGACCCCCCGTGTCTCACCTACTCATATCTTTCTCATGTGGACCTGGTGAAAGATGTGAATTCAGGGCTCATTGGGGCCCTGCTGGTATGTAGAGAAGGTAAGTGTAAGAAAGGGTCGCATTAAGATGAACTCAACTGCAAAGGGCAAACATCTGGGGCTTTTCATAAGAGAGCACTAGTATTTTTTATCTGAATGAGCTTTATTTAGCATCTTGTCTTGGATGAAGAGAGGAGCAGATGCCACAAATCAATTATCAGGACAGATGAACGCCCACATGCACCGGTGGCCCTTGACCCACTCCCAGGTTTTAAAGATTTTCTCCTATGTTTTACACCTCACACTTCCTAGTTGTCTGTAGTTGTTTTACATTTTTTCATTGGAATCTACTTTGAGTTAATATTTCAAGACTTGTGACAAAGAGAATGATTTTGAGAAGACCCCAAAACACAATCCATTAAAACAGATACATTGGACTTTATAAAAATCTATCACTTACCCAAAGCCCATCTGTAGACAATTGGCCATCTCCTCACAGAAGGGTCACAAGGAAGAGATGAGCCAGTCAGGGTGAAGTATAGCTCCGACTAAACACACAACTGTCCTCTAGGTCTTTAATGCTTCCTTCCACCACCACCACCACTCTCATGACCTCAGTTCTACCTTATAAATCAGATCAGACCAGAACATGCACACTGCTACAGAGAAGAGCCCGCAACACAGGGAATCCAGGATAGATAAACCCCTCAGGGCCAACAAGGAGAGTAGAGATACCAGGAAGATTAGGAGAAGGTGGGGTGGAGAAAGGGGAAATCGATCACAAGGATCAACCTAGAACCCCCTCCCAGGGGAGCCAAACAACGGGAAAATGAGTGAAGGGCAACAGAGGACGATGTAAGATGTGAAAATAATAATCTATAACTTATCAAGGGTTCGTGAGGGAGGAGGGGTTGGGGAGGAAGGGGGAAAATGAGGAGCTGATATTAGGGGCTCAAGTAGAAAGAAAATGCTCAGGGAGCTACATATAACCTCCTCTCTGGAGGACGGGCAGCGGAGGGGTGGGTGAAGGGAGACGCCGGGCAGTGTAATATAAGATACAATAAAAATTTATAAATTATCAAGGGTGCATGGGGGAGAGGGGAGGAGGAAGGGAGGGGGAGGGGGAAAAGGAAAATGAGCTGATTCCGGGAACCCAAGAGGAAAGCGAATTTTGGGAATAATGAGGGCAACAAATGTATAGATGTGCTTTACACAATTGATCTATGTATTGTGATGAATTGTATGAGCCCCAATAAATTGATTTTAAAAAAAAAAGAAAATGATGGCAACAAATGTGCTTGACACACTGGAGAAATGTATGGATTGTGATAAGAGATGTAAGAGCCCCTAATGAAAGTATTTAATTAAAGAAAAGGAAAAAAAACACACACACAACAAAAATCCATCACTTGAGATTGTGAACAACCCCATGAAGGGCATGGAGAGAGAAGCGCCAGCCAGGAGAAAGGCCTTAATTGGCCTGTGTTTTCCAAGGCGGCTGGCTCCTCACCAACTGGCTCTCCTTGAGCACAGTGGGGATGCCAGACGTGCATCTGCATCGTCATAACTCACAGCGGCCATAGGACAAGGTGGAACTGCCATCGTGCTTTCTGAGACTGTAACTCTCTACGGAAGTCGAAAGCTGCACATTTCTCCTGAGAGGATCTTTGCACGCTGGAGCCGTTCTGTATTGTGGTTGTGGTAGTAGTAGCTACATGAATCTAAACTGGTGTAGACAAAGACGCTGAGACACCACGGCGAGTGAGCGGATGGCCTCCAAGTTTCGGGCCCATGTCTACGGTGTGTTCTTGTGTTTCGAAATACAAATAGTCTGCTCTTTCTGAGGCCCCCGATGGCGTCACAGCTGTGATGCGTGCGCACAAGTGGTGGTGTCAGCCAGCACCGCCTATCCCATTGGAGAGCTTTGCCCCTTGGAGAGCTAGCTCGGGCCACAGCGAGACCCAGGAGCCTTGTGTGGTTTGGGAAGCTGGTCACTGGTGCCAGCTGGAGGGAATGGTGGCTCCAGAATGTTTGCCCCGAAGAGGGTCCCCACCACCTTCTGTGAAACATCACCTGACTATCCAGCGAGGCTTGTCCCACAGGATCGCCCCTGAGAGAGAGGCATCCGTTTGTCTCCTACCTTGCCCACTTGGGGGGTGATCAGGATCAGTTTGCCAATTTCCTCCAGGTCTATGCTGATGAATTTAAATTCCCAAGTATCTTAGCTAATGACACTGGAATTCTACTTAGACCATTTCCCTGCCCCCACCTTCCTGATAGCTCCCCTGCTGAGGAGTTTGTCAGGGAAACAAGTAGGAATTGCAGGCAGGCAGTTATGCAGATGGGAAGGGAGTCTAATTTAGCACAAATTCAGTTAAATGTCCTCATTCAATTTTGATGAGAAAGACTCAGTGTCTCCTTTACAATGCATGCACACTCATGAAATGGGATTTTAGGGGCTTGAATTTTTTGTCCTTTGACTATTATAGTAGCTTGCTTTTGTTCTATTTCAGAAATGTATTGGTCTGCAAAGAACTCCAAATACAGGAACTTAGTCCAGATAGTTTTAGAAGTTAAAGACAGACACCAAAGGAAAAGTTGGGCTTCCTCTCCAATCAGTAACGGAGTAATATCTCCCCCTTGTGGCAATTTCCTATAATAGCATTATTGAATAAATGATAAATTCTTTTCCTTCTTTTTTAGGGACTCTGGCCAAGGAAAGTGCACAGACCTTCCACGAATTCATACTACTTTTTGCTGTATTTGATGAAGGTTAGTGAGTTTCCACTTGAATTTTGAGATCCTGAACAAATATTAGCTAATACTTGCAAAAGTGGGATGTTATGGATGAGAAGAGGTGAGGAAGAATGAAGGAAATTTCGTTTTAAGGGAATTCCCTTTGCAGCTATGAAGAAAGACAGAAAAGCTGAGTAACAAGCTGGCCTCTGCCCCATCATTAATGTCATCTGTAAAGCCGTTGGGTTCTGCTTTCTAAATAGCTTCCCTTATCTTCGTCTCGTACTCAGCATTTGACTTTTGCAAGTTGCTTAATGTCTGCGTGCCTCAGTTTCCTCATCTGTGAAATTGAGACAATTTTAGTACCTTTCTCATAAGATCGTTGTGAAGAATGAGTGAGTGTTAGTACTTCTGCCTAATAATGTCGTCATCATTGTCAGCAACAACATCCTAATCCTTCCTCCTCCTGCACAAGGAGAAAGCTGGCTCTTTCTGTTCCCGTCTGAGAACCCGAGGGACTCGTTTTCTCGCTCCTGGATTTTCCTCGTTTCTGCCCCTGACACTCCATTGCTATGACAGCAGCTAGAGGAAACGTGTCACTCGGATTGTCTAGACTTCCCTGTGATTTAATCTCAAATTCAGGTGCAAACGCCTGGGCACAGTGGTGCGTGATGTAGTCCCTACTACCCTCTTCCACTTCACCTTCCAGCTAGAGCGTTTTCGATCACCCAGAACTTGGCTGGTGCTGTGCTTTCTTCCTGGAAAACCTTTCTCCCTGTTTCCGCCGGCTGAATTCCTGCCATCACCCACCCCACCCCAATGAACTCATCTGACTCCTTGATTCTGAGAGTGCAGGGGTTTGGAGGCAGTCATGGTTTCCCTGTGCAGTGGCTGGAGGGCTGTGAATTGCCAACCTTGTGGTTAGCACTTGCTCTACCAGAGCGCCATCAGCCTGGGATCAACACGGGCTTTATATAGGCCCACAGCACTTTATGCGTACCCATTCTTGTACCATATAACCAGTGTCTGGTTTACTTTATGAATAGTTATCTTTGTGCGCCTCTTGGCCTTGCCCTGCATGGCCTGTGAAATTCCACATTCCTTAGCTGTTTATGCAAGCTGACCGCACACACAGGCAGTCCCTGATCAGTACTCAGGAAGCCTGTGTTTGCAGGAATGCGCACAAGGGCTTCTGGCCAGAGGCTTCCAGGAGATGTTGTCTCATGATAATACCTCCAATGCTTCTGGCAGGAGGCTGAAAGCACTCACCAGCCAGTCCTTCCAGGAGATGCTGTCTCCTGATCATGCCTCCAGTTCCTTAGTTTTTCTTACTTTCCCAGGGGAACCTCTCAGGTAAACAGGAGGATGTAGTCACAGATAGAGCACCCTTTCTCAGGGTGGTCTGCTTCCTTTTCTACATCTCAGGATGAAAGAGGATGCAATCAACCTGGCTCAAATGAACCAAGATTCTCCCTTCTCCCAGATATCATTTATTACCACATCTTCCCACCTCCGTTAGGAACATATATAAGCCAAACTTGTTTTGGCTTGCTGTCAAGTGAATTCCAAGCCATATTGACCCTACAGAGAGGAACTGCCCATAGGACTTCCACGGCTGGAGATCTTTGCAGAAGCTGACTGCCACATCTGTTTCTTGCAAAGTGGTTGGTGAGTTTGAACTGCTCACCTTATACTCTGTTTCCCTGAAAATATGACGGTGTCTTATATTAATTTTTGCTCCCAAAGATGTGCTAGGTCTTATTTTCAGGGGATGTCTTATTTTTCCATGAAGAAGAATACGGTACACATTTATTGTTTATTGTTTTATTAAAAGAGATCTCGCACTTCCTGTCTGCTCCAGCTGTGCTACAGCCAACAGTGAGCTGTGCAGCGGCGCCTGCCACCATGGTCCAGGGTCCAGAATGACAGTAGCTTCAGGGGGCCTTATTTTCAGGGAGGTCTTATTTCCGGGGGGATGCCTTAAATTTCAGTGAGAGGCAAAACTGTAAGTAGGTCTTATTTTCGGGGGATGTCTTACTTTCGGGGAAACACGGTAGTTAGCAGTGCTTTGACCTCTGGGCTGCCCTGTATTCTTACGGGCAAATACAAGGAGAAAAACCCTTTTTTGAGCAGTGGGTTGGGGTGGGAGGGGGGAGGATCTGCCTTTTCATGACTGTCTTCTTCCTCCCACTCATTGATTTTATGAAGATCCATCCTCTGCCCACTTTGCAGATAACAAATCCTGAAGCTCTGAGCTTTCTTCACCCCACAGGAGGGAGAAAAGGGGCGAGTGTGGACCAGTCAGGCGAAGGTTGCTTACCTGGCTCTCTCCTTGCCTCCTTTCTCCTTAGGGAAAAGTTGGCACTCAGAAGCAGATGAATCCCGGGCCTTGGATGCAGAGTCCGCACCAACTCGGTCCTGGCCTAAAATACACACAGTTAACGGCTACGTAAATAGGTCTTTACCAGGTATGTACACGCTCGCTCAAGAGTCCGCAGGGTCTTAATGCCAGAGCTCTTTTGGACATGTCAGAGCAAAGCCCACTGACTTCTTAATGTAGCAGCTGGTTCTTCCTCCAACCACTGAGACTGCGCACAAAGCTCATAATCAGATTTCCCTCTTGTCGGCGGAATGTGAGTGGGCGACCCAGGGTAACTAGACATTTAAGGGAAATGTGAAACAGTAAAGAGATATGAGAAGACAAGCAAAGATCAAATCATTCCAGAAGGAGTTTGCTATTTACCCTGAGTATTCAAGAAGTGCCTTCAGCCCTAAGCCAATCATAAGACTGAAAAAGAAACAACCAGAACAAGAGCACAATGAGACAAAACTCAATAGAAATAAATCTCCCAGAAAGTCAAAGAACAAGAAAAGAGATTGAGAGTACAGTTTAAAACAAGCTTGTAAAAAGAATCAAAGAAATTAGAGAAGAGAATGTTGTGAAGGCAAAGATATGAGTCTTCATATGGAAAAGGCCCAGCCAGCTCAATAAAACCATAAACAAGAATCAAGAGTCTTGGGCAAAGAAATGAGCAGCAGGCTGCAATAGAGAGGTTAAAAGATCCCAGGAAAATTTCAGTTTCAACCTAGATTTCATAACCAAACTATAAATCTGCTTTGCGGGAAAAATACTTTAAAAAACACCCTAAGTGGAAGGCCACAAAAGGTACTAAATATGAGTGATCCAGAAACCCAGGGGAATAATGAAGAAATGAGGAGAGAGATTTTCTTCTTAATTATTTTCTGTATTTTTCTATTAATTCTATGATGACTAGGCATACATTTTAGAATCCTTTTTTTTTTTTTTAGGAATCTATTTTAAAACACGAATGTCCCTATTCTTACAGAACTTATAGTATGAAGAACTTTTAAAAAGTCCATGGAAAATTGAATTAAGAGATAATAGAATTTTCCCATTAGTTTTTTGGTCTCTCCATTATATGAGGAGCTTCAAGAAGTTAATGGGAAATTCTTTTAACTCCATTTTCCATGAACTTTTTAAAGCCCCTTCTATAACGGAGAGACCAATAGTAGTAAAAATCATAATAATAAATGAAAAATTAAAAACAGAACTTTTCATCACTCTGAAGGAAAATGACATTATTCTATGAGAACATGTAGGAAGGAGCCTGGCCTACCCTGGAGAATCAAAGAAGGCTTCCCCAGCTAGCTAACAGTCTGAGGTATAAACATATCGCTGCTTGGGTTCAACTATTGAGCAAATTAATGAACATTTCTGGGCACCAGTTTCCTCTCCTATAGGAGACAGATGATAATAGTTTATATGTTCATAGAATTATTATGAGGAGTGAATGAGTTTAAAACTTGCAAAACATTTTGGACAGTTCTTGATACAAAACAAGTGCTCGGTAGAGACTAGCTATGGCCTTGCCAAGGATGGGCTGTGAGGGGGGAGAGTGGGTGGGGACAGATAACGCTCATGTCCTGGAAGGAAGAACGGTGCCCATCATTAAGATATGTGTGAGCTACTCACAGACGGGCGGCGATGCTGACCAGGTGGTTGGCTGCAAGCGTCTGGGACTGAGGCGAGGTCAAGAGTGTTATCAGCATAAATGGTCACCAGCGGCAGAGGAAGGGGACCAGTGGCCGTGGAAGTTTGCCTCGAAGCAAACCGAGCAGTCAAAGTTATCAGGCCCGTTTGCTCATCTTGCACTAGCAGTTGGTTTCTGTTTTAAAGTCCCTACTTCGTACTCACGGCTACGTTATTCCTTCCTCACGGACAGGTCTGGTCGGATGCCACAGGAAGTCAGTTTATTGGCATGTGATTGGAATGGGCAGTAGCCCTGAAGTGCACTCCATTTTCCTGGAAGGGCATACCTTTCTTGTGAGAAACCACCGTCAGGCCTCCTTGCAGATCTCACCAATACATTTCCTGACTGCTCAGACTCTCCTGATGGACCTTGGCCAGTTTCTCCTGTTTTGTCACATCCCTTCCCACAAACACGGTAATATCTGTGGTTCTTACAACTGGCTATTGCAACTATACAGCTCTCCTGTTAATGGAATTTACTAGACTGTGTTCAAGAACATAGGGAGTTGCATGCTGTTTTAAGTTTGTTAGATGCTGCTGAGCTGGTTCTAACACATAGCAATCCCGTGTCCAACAAAACGATCAATTGCCTGGCCCTGCGCCATCTTCAGAGTTGTTCTTATGTTTGAGCCCATTGTTGGAGCCATGGTGTCCGTCTGTCTGTCGAAGGTTTTCCTCTTCTCTGCTGCCCTTCTACCAAGTCTGATGTCCTATTCCGGGGACTGGTTTCTCCTAACAACATGTCGAAAGTACGTGAGACAAAGTCTCACCATCCTTGCCTCTAAGGAGCGCTCTTTGCCATACTTCTCCCAAGAGAGATCTGTTTGTCCTTTTGGCTTTCCATGGTACTTTCAGTATTCTCCCTCAGCATCCGAAGTCACAGATTCATGGTCCAGCTTTTGTATGCATCTGAAGTGACTGGCTACTTGTCTGTCAGTCTGTCGTCGTGTGGCGGCTTGTGCGTTGCTGGAAGGTATGTCGCTGCCAGCAGGGTCACCGGGTGAACAAGTTTCAGGGAGCTTTCAGACTAAGAACGGATGATGAAGAATGACTCAGTTCTCCACTCCGGAGGAAGAAACTACCGACAATCTTATGCAGAGCGTGGAAACATTGTCAGCTACTGAAAGTGTAATGACTAGAAGGAGGACGTGGTTGGACTGGGATGGGCCATTTTGAATCCGAAAATCAGATGGTTTGTTGTGTCAGGAATGACACAATCCAGAGGAATGATATGGCATTCCCTTTCAAAAAGGACATTGGAAAATACATCTTGAGGTGCAGTGCTGGCTATGATAGAGTTAAACCTATCCACTGTGAAGGAAATCTAATCAATACAACTATCATTCAAATTTATCCACCAGCCACAAAGATTAGTGATGAGGAACTTGAAGGATTCTACCAGCGTCTTCAATCTGGTTAAACATGCAATCAAGATGCACTGATAATGACTGGTGTTTGTAATGCAGAAGTCAGAATCAAAGAGTTTCGGGAAATATGGACTTGGTGATAGAAACAAGGCTGGAGATCACATGGCAGAATTCTGCAAGAACGACTTGTTCATAGCAAAGCCTTTTTTTTTCAACACCACAAAAAGTGACTGTACACTTGGATTTATTCAGATGGAGTACACAGAAATCAAATTGACTACATCTCTAGGGAGAGACCATGGAGAAGCTCAATATCGGCAGTTAAAACCAGACCAGAGGCTGACTGTGGAACAGACCATCAATTTCTTATATATTAATTCAGGTTAAGGCTTTAAAAAAATTAAGATAAGTCCGCGAGATCCAACATACGACTTTCATTCTATCCCACCTGAATTTTGAGGACATCTCAAGAACAGACCTGATGCATGGAATACTACTGACAGCAGACTTGATGAGCTGTGGGAGGACATCAAGACCATCAGCCCTGAAGAGAGCTGAGGGTCATTAAAAGGACAAGAAAGAAAGTAAAGGTCAAAGTAGATGTCAGAAGAGACTCTTAATCGTAGACTAGCTAAAGCAAATGGAAGAAAGGATGACATCGAGGAGCTACACAGATAAATTTAAAGCGCAGCTTAAGAAGACAAAGTCAAATGTTATAATGAAATGTGCAAGGACCTAGAGTTAGAAATCTAAAAGGGAAGGACACGTTCAGCATATCTTAAGCAGAAGGAAAAATTCAAGTCTCAAATTGCAATATTGAAAGAGTCTATGGGTAAAATATTGGATGATTCAGGAAGCATCCAAAGAAGATGGAAGGAATACACAGACTTACTGTACCAAAAGGAATGAGTCGACAGCCCACCATTTCAGGAGGTAGCATCTGAACAAGAAACAATGGTGCTGCAGGAAGAAGTTGAAGCTGCACTGAAAGCATTAGTCACAAAAAAGAGTCCCGGAATTGATGGAATACCAATTGAAATGTTTCAACAGGCTGATGAAGCACTGGGAGCACTTACTCGTCTATACCAGGAAATTTAGAAGACAGCTACCTGGCCAATTGACTGGAAGAGATCTATATTTGTGCCCATTCCAAATAAAGACGACTCCATAATACAACAATATCAGTGAGATCTCAGGCAAGTAACATTTTCCTTAAGATCATCCAATGATGGTTGTAGCAATACATTGATAGGGGGCTGCCAGAAATTCTGCTTGGATTCAGAAGAGGTTGTGGAATAAGGGATATCATTGCTGGTGTCAGATGGATCTTGGCTGAAAGCAGAGACTACCAGAAAGAAGTTTACTTGTGTTTTATTGACTATGCCAAGGCATTGAACTGTGTGGATCATAACAAACTAAGAGAAGAATGTAAATTCCAGAACACTTTGTTGTGCTCATTTGGAACATGTACATGGATCAAGAGGCAGTTGTGCAAATAGAGCAAGGGATTGGAGGAAGATTTATTTACAATCTATGATATACAGAGTGACACAGCCTTGCTTTCTGAAAGTGAAGAAGGCTCGAGGCACTTGCTGATGAAGGTCAAGAATTGCCGCCTTCAGGATGGATTACAACTCAATGTAAAGAAAACCCAAATCCTCCCAACTGGATCAGTAGGTAATCTTGATGTTGTCAAGGATTTTGTGTCGCTTGGAGCCTCAATCAAGGTTCATGGGAGCCACAGTCGAGGGATCAAAAGAGGCATCACGCTGAGTCAATTGCTGCACACATGTTGAAAAGCAAGGCTGTTCCTTTGTGGACTAAGGTGCACCTGAGTCAACCCACGGTGTTATCATTCAGCTCATGTGCATGTGAAAGTTGGCCATTGAGTAAAGAAGAGCACAGAAGAATTGATGGTCTGACTTCTGATGCTGGTAGAGAATCTTGAAAGTACCATGGATTGCCAAAAGAGCAAACCAATCTGTGTTGGAACAAGTACAACCAGAATGCTCCTCAGAGGACAGGATGACAAGACTTGGCCTCACAGACTTTGGACAAGTGGTCAGGAGAGACCAGTCCCTGGAGGAGGGCATCTTGCTTGCTGAAGTGGATGGGCAGCAAAGAAGAGGAAGGCCCTCAAGGAGATGGACGGACACCATAGCGGCAACTGTGAGCTCAGGGAAGAGGGGATGTTGGTATGGAGTTGGATCGGGGCACTTAAGAGAAGGTCTTGAAGTCCTGACAAGAAAGAATGAAGTCATGAAAGTTACAGCAAGAAAGTCTTATGGGACTCTGACATTGTTTGGTTTGTCTGACTCCAGATGGCATGGAAGCTTATATCAAAGTAGACAGCTGCCCAGAGAAACCCCAAGTACGCAAGAAAATCGTTGAAGAAGAGGACGATTATGATTCTGACATGGAAATACTCAATTTTGATGATGGCATCTCTTCCCCCTACATTCACATTCGTTCATTTGCCAAGAAGCACCCTCAAACTTGGATCCACTATCTTGCTGCTGAGGAGGAGGACTGGGACTATGCTCCTGCAGTTCCCCCCTCCACTGACAGGTGAGCACCTTTGGACTTTTCCAAGTTCTTCTGATCAAAAAATCTTTAGGACATAGTCAGTGTTAGGTACATATGTGGACTCCAACGGCAGGGACATTTAACATGGTTTGAAATGAGCACAGGGAAGCATGTTTCACTCCATTCCGGCTGTTTGATACTTATCCTTTCCCACAAGTTTTCCACTCCACACCCTCTCTCTTCCAGAGGTTGTCCAAGTCCACACGGAGACAACAACACTCGGTGGATTGGTCGGAAGTACAAGAAGGTCCGATTTGTTGCATACACAGACAAAACCTTTCAGACGCGTGCAGCTGTCCAGTACGAATTAGGAATCCTGGGGCCTTTGCTTTATGGAGAAGTTGGAGACACACTGTTGGTAAGTTGAGGAAAATACGTATGAGAGTAGGGAAGAAAAAAATGCTGGAGAGTTTTGACTTTCTAAAATGGCCTAGTGAGCATGATCTTTTAAGAACTATAAATGTTACACAAGTAAATGCTAGTTGTTAAAAATTAAATATGAGTATAAAAGTTTAATAATGTCACTCAGTATTCCTGTCACTCCTCTGAAATAGCTATTGCATAGACGTGTGTGTGTGTGTGTGTGTGTGTGTACATATCTCCTTCCAGAAGTTTTCCCTTTACATAAGAAACGGCAAATAGCCGATTAAAGGATCTACATATAACCTCCTCCCTGGGGGACGGACAACAGAAAAGTGGGTGAAGGGAGATGTTGGACAGTGTATGATATGACAAAATAATAATAATTTATAAATTATCAAGGGTTCCTGAGGGAGGGGGGAGCGGGGAGGGAGGGGGAAAATAAGGAGCTGATGCCAAGAGCTTAAGTGGAGATCAAATGTTTTGAGAATGATGAGGGCAACAAATGTACAAATGAGCTTGACACAATTTATGTATGTATGGATTGTGATAAGAGTTGTATGAGCCCCCAATAAAATGATTTTAAAAAAAGAAACAGCAAATAATGGCCTGTGTATCAAATTTTTGGACATCTATGAGTATATAATGGATTTTTACTTTTTAATTTAATTTTTCATGGTGAAATATGAAAGAAATAATTGCTACTTCAACCAGAATTGTATGTCTAATCTAGTGACATTGATTACATTTCCCATGTGTACAACTATCTAAATTTTTGCTTTTGAATAGTTGTAAAGAAAAGAAATACAGGACAGAGACCAGATATAGCTCACAAAGCTTAGAATCCTTTCCAGAGAATTTTTGTCAACCCTCTATCTCATGTGGTAGCAATTGTATAATTCTACTCAACGTGATGAAAATATGGAATGATATGTTATATGTTTTAAAGGCCTGTACTATAAGTTCAGTTTAGCTCTTTTGCGCTGTTGTCGTTAAACGCCATTTTACCATTATAAAAAATCAGCCCTTGGTCTCTGATGCAGCCCATCTTATTAAGTCTAGGGCCTCCATAGAATAAGAAACACAAACTATATTTTTGTGCAGTTGTAATTCCTATTTTTCAGTGTACTGTTGTATCAGTACATATTCTGGCCTCAGATTTTTCACTTGAAGGGAAGTTTATTCTCTTTTATATTTTATCTCTGGAGATCAATTCCTTGTAGATCGCTTCTTCCAAAGTTGCATAAAACTTCAGTGTGGCCCGTGATATCGAACTGGCCCAGCCTTGATCTTCATCTTCTTAGAGTCGATGACATTTTTAAAAAGGGGTGAGTTTAACCCCTCCCCCAAAGGTACACACAAATATATCATACGTAATGTGAAGTATACAATACACTCTACAACTTGATCATTTCATTCCTTAGCTGTAGCTTTTCCATTTAGAAATTGAACTCTTCTTTTTCCACTTATTAAGCTGTGATGATTCCCTTCTCCTTCACTAGTTTAAGAGTGTGAAAAAGGCTTAATTTGTATAAATTGCTATGAAATTAGATTTTCATTTATATATACTTTGTTTATAAAGTACTCCAAATTGTAACTTATGATGTATAACTTTTTAAAATGAAACAGTACTCTTAACATGCATGTTTTGCTCTGTGAAAACATTCTACGTACATTAGAACATATCCATTTGGGAAATTTCCTATGTACATGACTTAAAAAAAGACTCACAATTAGATCAGTATTTCCAATGTTAAGATAATTTGGCGCCACCTAGCTACCAATTTCTGCAACTATTAGCTTTCGAAATTCAAGTTGCCATTAACACTGAAAAGCGCATTTTGAAAATGGTTTTTCATTATTGTGTCTTAATGGTGAAACAAACAGAACTATGTGATATCAAAATTAGTATAAAAACAGTCACGTGCTATGTAAATATGGAAAACTAGCCAGTTATTTTGACTTTAGGTGCGGACTTCTGCCTCTCTTGAATGGTATCGATGTCTCTGGGGACTATGCAGGTAACTGGAGCAGACAGGAAGACTTTGTACCGTCAACAGAGCAGTCAGCACACTTAATTAGGAGAGGGCAACTCATTCCTCATTTAAAATTTTTCTAAATGAGAATTTATTTTTATCTGATATTTTCCCAATGATTCAGTTTAATATAGCAGTAAGAATTTACTTGAAAATATGTGGCAAATGCTTTATAAGATTTCCACATAGAGGTATTCCCAAACCTAGAGTTGTTCCCCAATCTGCAGCATATTCTAGTAATGAAGTACACTTACAATGGCATACTTTTTTTCCTTACTTTTATTGGGGGTTCTTACATCTTGTATCACAATCCAAAAATGTATCCAGTGTGTCAAGCACATTTGCACATATGCCGCCATCATCCTTATCAAAGCATTCTCTTCCCACTTGAGCCCCTGATATCAGCTCCCCATTTCTTCCCACTCCTTTCCCCGCCCACCCTCCCTCATGAGCCCTTGATAAGTTATAGATTATTATTTTCATATCTTACATCATCCTCTGTTGCCCCTCACCCACTTTTCCATCATTCATCCCCCTGGGAGGGGGTTATACATTGATCCTTGTGATCGGTTCCCCCTTTCTCCCCCCACCCTCCCCTAATCCCCCTGGTACCTCTACGCTATTGTTGGCCCCGAGGGGGTTTATCTGTCCTGGATTCCCTGTGTTGCGGCCTCTTATCTGTAGCAGTGTGCATGCTCTGGTCTGATCTGATTTGTAAGGTAGAATTGAGGTCATGATAGTGGGGGGAAGGAAGCACCAAAGAACTAGAGTAAAGTTGTTTGTTTCATCGGTGCTATACTGCACCCTGATTGGCTCATTTCTCCCCTGTGACCCCTCTGTGAGGGGATGTCCAATTGTCTACAGATGGGCATTGGGCCTGCACTCGATGCCGCCCGGCCCCACCCCCACCCCCCATTCACCTTGGGTATGATTTTGTTCTGAGTCTTAAATGCCTGATACCTGATCCAATCGGCACCTCATTTAAAAAAAATAATAGATGTTATGGTCTTTTATCCAGAAACTCTATAACATCAAAAGAACAACGTGGGCCTAACATTTTACCTAAGATATTTCAACATTCTCACCTTTAAAAAAATCATTTTATTGGGGACTTGTACAACTGTTATCACAATCCATCCATCCATCCATCCATTGTATAAAGCACATTTGTACATTTGTTACCTCATCATTCTCAAAACACCTGCTCTCTATGTAAGCCCCTGGCATCAGCTCCTCAGTTTCCCTCTCCCTCCCCGCTCTCCCTTCCCTCATAAACCCTTGCTAATTTTTTTTTAACATCAATTGTGTAAAGCACATTTGTACATCGTTTCTCAAAACATTTTCTCTCCACTTAAACCCCCGACATTAGGTCCTCATTTTTCCCCTCCCTCCCCGCTCCCCCCTCCCTCATGAGCCCTTGATAGTTTATAAATGGGTATTTTGTCATATCTTTCCCTGTCCGACGTCTCCCTTCACCCACTTTTCGGTTGTCTGTTCCCCAGGGAGGAGGTCACACACAGTTCCATGTAATCGGTTCCCTAAACCCTTGCTAGTTTATAAATTATTATTTTGTCATATCTTACACTGTCCGATGTCTCCCTTCACTCACTTTTCTGTTGTCCGTCCCCCAGGGAGGAGATTATATGTAGATCCCTGTAATCGGTTCCTCCTTTCTACCCCACCTTCCCTCCACCCTCCCGGACTCTCACCACTGGTCCTGAAAGGATCATCCACTCAGGATTCCCTGGAATCCCCAATACCTTAAAAACAAAACAAAACAAAACAAAAAAATCAAATCAACCTGCTTGAATAAATAGTACCCATTCTGATGAGATTTTAACCTTCTATAATGGAAGAGAGCCCCAAAGCTGACTCTCAGCAAGCCGGGTTGTGCTATCTGCATATCACAGGTTGTTAGTGAGCCTTCTTCCAATCCTGATGCCACAGTCGTCTTCGTATTACCCAGCTTCTCTGACCATTGACTCAGCAGACAGCGTGAATAAATATGTTGAGAGGATGCCAACCTGATGCACGCGTTCGTTCTTGATATTAAACCATGCAGTAAGGGAAACGAAGTCCTAATACACGCGACAAATATGGATGGAGCTGAAAGACAGTATTGTGCTGAGTGACCTAAGTCCATGACAAAGCCAATTTTTGTATGACTTTACTTTTATGAAAGGAGAGAAAAGGCAAATGCAGAGAGAACAAAGTTTTACTGGTTGATGGGGGTGGGGTGGGGCAGAGGAGCAAAGAGGGCAGAGCTAAAGCCCCCCAGAAGCAGTTCTACTCTGTTGTGTCGGATCACTGAGTGTGAATGCACTCAATGGCAGGAGGTTTGGTTTTTTGGGAGGGTAGGGCTGTACAACTGGTTTTTGTCATTGTTGTCAATAAGCTGTTCACCTGTAAAAAGTGGAATTGTCAAACGTGTATGATAGATGTATTTACAACAATGACCGAAAAAGAAAAAGACAAGCTTGCAAGTGTGCAACCAGTGTACAACACTGGTCTCTTCATCTGGAGGCACATCCGAAGGAGGAGGAGGAAGTCTGGAATGTGTGGCTAATTGTCCCCAGTGACAGCAACCCCCTTCACCATGAGGCCAGCAGAACTGGATGGTGTCTGGCCACTGTTACTGGACGTTTTGATCAAATATCCCATGGAAGAATCCTGATCAAAAAACCATAAATGCAGAACAGAATGTAAAATTTTCATGGGTGCTAGGCTTTCCAGAACACCATGAAGGGTGGCAGAGCTTCTGAAATTATTACACTAGTAGAATTATTAAGCTTTAAACCAAAAACATTCCCTGAAGTCTTCTTAAAAGCCAATACTAATAATAAAAATGTCAGCCTTGAGCATTATGGCTTTTGAAGATCCACCACCTAGATGAGATCAAATTGACAACAGCAACTGCAGAGATGAGACAGGAATCTTGCGGGGCCGTGGGCTTAGGTTAATGAGGGAGAAATAGCTCAGAAAAGGGCCAAGTCCAAACTGTGGAGTTGCTCTATATCTTGCTGCACATATTCTCAGCGACAAGAGGACATAAAATTGGAAAAGAATTTTATGCATAAGACTTTAAAATAATAGAATGTTTTACAGTGTTTTAAACAAAAGGGCACAGGGCTTATACACTGAAAACGCTTAGTCATTATTGAGATAACGGTAGTATTCGCAGAGGTTCATTTTTATATTATTGATCCATTTCTAGTTTTTTTCTTGCCTATGATGTGTGCTATCAATCCTATTATATCTTTTTACCACATGACTCACCAGTTATCCCCGCATAATTTACTTAAAAAAAAAACCAACCTTTCGCCCCAAGTAGTTGAGATGTCTCCCTTATCACATTTTAATTTTTAGATGGGCTTGTGTCTATTTCTGGATTTTCTAAGGTAGAAATAAACTGTGAGCCACTTGAATCTAATTATAAAAGGAAACAAAGAAATAAGATGCTGCCTGGAAGAGCATTTTTGAAGGGTGAGGTGGAGCGCTCACCACGGATGCTCCTACAATCGTATTGAGAATGATGGTAACTAGTAAACAAGGAGCCCTGGTGGCGCTGTGGGTTAGGCGCTGAACACCCGGGAAAGATTCATAATCTCACAAACACACAGGGTCACAATGGTTTGAACGAGACTGAATGGCAGGGGCCTAGTCAACAAGAAGAGATGCTGCAGCTGATTCCAACAGGAAAGAATATGATCAGATGTGTACACAGGTGGGGAGATTGGATTGTAAGGAGGTGAGGGAGCTCTCTTCTCAATGGGGATAAAACTCGGCCCCTGGAAGTGAGGAGGAGCAATTATGTATGAAACACAGTCAGCTGAGGGCGTGGCAGGATGAGCTTCTAGGCAACTCGGGTAGCTTGAGTGTTCTTTTGAAAGCTGTGGTCCTGAAGTGACACCGCTGGTGGCAGTGCTGTGTGATTGTCCTCAGGACTATTCTGGTGCTCAGCTGACGTCCGATATCAGCTAATGTGAGAAGCGACAAAGAATATTTTATTGATTGATGTGATTGAATTTTTAAAAAGTTATTTTAAATGAGTGTGACCTGTAGTGAGTAACTTGAATAATTGCTTGGGCATTTTTATTAATGGAACAAATATTTTAAGCTTTATCTAGGCTCGAACCTCTATAGTGTGAATGCAAGGGGTCTTCAAAAATTCATGGAAAAATTTCATTATTTTTCTACTCTATTTCCCACAAACTTTTTTGAATGTCCTAGTACAGGGAGCTCCCCCAACCATTCCTGGAGGCAGGTCTTTTTCATTTTTATGGATCACAATTGTCTTAGAACTTGACCTTATAGGTCATTTGTACTTTCAGATTATGTTTAAGAATCAAGCAAGCCGACCATATAACATCTACCCTCATGGAATCACCCATGTCAGTCCTTTGCACTCAAGGAGATTACCAAAAGGTAAGCACGATGCTCATTTGTATAGCTTGCACCTGTAGGCCCAAGTGAGGTCACGGCATCAATCATAAAGAAAATCTTACAGGTTATTGACCCCGGTTATTGATCTAGGACCTCCAACCCCAGTCTAGAGTCATACCAAATCAACTCTAGGAATCGTCAGGGAATGACGCATATAAATTGGTTAAGAGTTCCCGGATGTATTTTTGATATTACCTACCAGTGATGCTTAAATATGACACAATCAATAAGGTTGACACCTACGCTTATCTACTGTCAGTGCCCTAAAAATCAAAGCCAGGGCTTCTGGCCAAAAAAAAAAAAAAGAAAATAAATCTTTCACTATTTCTTTTACATTATTCTATCAGTCTGTTAAGTGAATGCAGTTTAATGGCATACTTATATTTTCATTTTTGGAATTGTTTTTAAACGTTCCAATATTTGTGATTTTCCTAGTATTTTTGTTGTTAATGGTGTGTAATTTAATCTCTTTGTGATAGACAACTGTATGAATTGGATCATATTAGGCATATTGACACTTGTTTTGTGACCCCCCCAATATTGTTCGGGGAATATTCCATGTACACTTCAAGCATGTCTACGTTCTGGTTGCAGGATGTAGCATTCCATCAGCTCACCTATGATTTCACAGAGTTGTTTTGGGGTTGTTCTCTAGATCACTCTCAGAGGGGTATTAAAATTTCATACTCTGTTGAATTGTCTATTTCTCCCTTTAATTCTGTCAAATTAAAAATGTATATTCCTACATATAACCTCCACCCTGGGGGACGGACAACAGAAAAGTGGGTGAAGGGAGACGTCGGACGTTGTAAGATGTGACAAAATAATAATAATTTAATTTATAAATTATCAAGGGTTCATGAGGGAGGGGGGCAGTGGGGAGGGAGGCGGAAAAACGAGGAGCTGATACCAAGGGCTCAAGTAGAAAGCAAATGTTTTGAGAATGACGATGGCAACAAATGTACAAATGTGCTTGACACAATGGATGGGTGTATGGATGGTGATAAGAGTTGTATGAGCCCCCAATAAAATAATTTTAAAATATATATATATTCCAAAGCTCTATTCTAAGCACATAAAATTTATGATTGTTATATCCTTAGATGAATCAACCCATTTTTTGTTTGTCTCCTTTATCTCATAAAGACTTTTATCTTAAAGGCTATTTTATCTGATATTAGTATAACCACTCCAGCCTTTTTTTTTCCTTTGCTTTCTCTGAGGGGTATGCATCTTTGTCCATCCATTTACTTTTAATTTACATATTTCTTGTATTATAATTTTGAATCTTGATCTTTTATGGGGTCTCCATCCTAGCCATGACGCGCTCTCATGCTAACTTCAGTTCCCCCCATTTCCACTCACCTTCACCCCTGGCTCCTAGAAGAGAGATGAGAAATAGGATAAGAAATATAGCCCAGTACAATTTTTTAAAGAGATACTGAAAGATTTTATCATGATACTCCCTTTCTATAGGCTTCTTACTCTTAGGTCAGTCCTAACCTAATGGGGGTAAGGAAGCTCTTGGAATGGATATAGAATGAAATTTTATATTTATATGGGATCTTCAAGTACTAAACATACCCCAAACTCATTTACCTAAATTAGACAATGAATCCAGACAAATTCATTTAATTAAATTAGGCCATTTATACCCTTAGACCTGTTAGCCTGGGGGAAGCTCTTAGTTCTTGCTTTTCTTGTTAAAAAAGTATGCTATACCAGTTTCAGTTTTCATTTATTGAGAGCTTCTGTATGTACACAGTTGTTGCTCCTTTGGGATAATAGGATTGCCAATGTGTGCCTTGTTATCCTCTAATTGATCTATTTTGGGTTTGGATGTGGTTAGGTGTGAAACATTGGAAGGATTTTCAAGTTATGCCAGGAGAGACATTCAAGTATAAATGGATAGTGACTCCCGAAGATGGGCCAACAAAGTCCGACCCTCAGTGCCTGACACGCTACTATTCTAGTTTTGTTAATCTGGAGAGAGACATGGCTTCAGGACTCATTGGGCCTCTCCTCATCTGTTACAAAGAAACTGTAGATCAAAGAGGAAATCAGGTGAGCACATTCCAGTGCTTATGTTTGGTTTGAAGCTAAGAAAGGTATGGTAATTCGGATGAACTTCCAGGTAATCTTTCCTGTCTTCTCTCAGCCTTTTTCCCCTTCTAGACTGGAGGAAACATAGCATACAGAAATGAACGCTAATAAAAGGAGTGAGTTGGGGCTCACTTAGCCTTCATTGAATATGTGCTTTCCTTTGTTTTGCTCTGGATTCTTTCTAAAACATTCATTTTCCATCAGGAATTTTGCTTTCTCTAAGTGAGCTTGCCTATTTTTCCATCTTCAGTGACAACCTATTTTAGATGACCCCCACCCCCTATTACAGCCTAGACTTCTCTGGACATCTCATTTTGCGGGACCCAAAGGCATTTCAGAATGCATGTGCCATAAGCATCTTACACAGTACATGGAACTCAAGAAACAGTTGTTGAGTGAAAGACAGGGAAAGGGATAAAACATTTCAGAATTATTTGAATTCAATATGGCTAGAATTTGCACCATATCTATTAATTTTTTTAAAAAAGCTAAATCATCTGAACAAACCTCATTGCTTAACTCCAGACTCAATCGTGGGGGTGCAGTTGGGTCAGCACTGGGCTGCGAAAGCGAGGGCTGGGCCACAGACCCACACGCTGCTCTGTGGGATAAAGAGAAGGCCGTCTGCTTCAGTAAAGCTAGCCGGCGAAACCAGCGAGAGAGACAGAGACAGAGAGACAGAGTTAGTTGACTGGAGAGCAAATGGCTTTGATGGTCTGAAAGGCTCCCTGGGAGCACTGTGGGCTAACGGCACCATTCACTCAATAGAGCCAAGCTACTTTGAAAACAGTTTGTAACTAACGTTTCACAAACTTTAGTGAAGTTTAGTGTGGCACACAAACCCAGAAAGGCAAGCATTTGGTCAAGATCTTATCCTGACAAATCTTTCCTAATTAAAGTCTCCTTGCCCCCCCTCCCCCCCCCCCCACTTTTTTAGAGAAATGATTGAAATGTACCTCTATCTCCCTCAGTCTTCCTGATTTGGCAAGTGCCACATTCGCAGTTTTGATGTACTTGCAAAGTGAGCTTCTAAAACAAATGAAAGCATTTTAAAGCCTCGGACTTCTGGCGTGACTGTGGTTTAATGGACCTAGTCACTGCCTTGCCCTGAAGCCCCATTTGTTCCACACACGTCCTCACGGCTGACCCCTGACAATACCAGTAACATTGACCTCTCCCTCTTACTACCTGTAATTAACAGATGATGTCGGACAAAAGAAACGTCATCCTATTTTCTGTATTTGATGAGAACCGAAGCTGGTACCTAACAGAGAATATGCAGCGCTTCCTCTCTAATGCCTCAGGGGTACAGCCGCAGGACCCACAGTTCCAAGCCTCCAACCTGATGTACAGTGAGTACAGGAAACTGACGCCCTCGAGCTTGCTGTCTAGATCATGAATGCATTTACATCCTAGGTATGTCAGGCTGGCTTCTCAAGAGAAACAAAACATGTGCCGCTTAGATGTGCGCATACCGGCTGGCTGCGAAGCTGGTGAGAAGCCTTTGAAGCAACCCAAGCAGCAGACTAAGGACGTGGACGAGGAAGAGAAGGCTTTGAAACAGAACCCGAAAGAAGAGCAGAAGAAACTCAAGGCACTAAAAGCAAAGCCTCAGGGAAGGGCCCCCTGGCCACAGGTGGAAGAAAGAAATCTGGCCCCAAGCCAGCTGTTCTTGGGGACTGTGGCAATGGCGACCCTTGATTTCATTCCCGTGTAAACATCTGCATTTCCTGCTTGAACATCGGTTGCCACCGAGACATGAAGGGTTGCCTTGGAGCGTGCTGTACATTTCAGAATAAACTTTTGTCAGTAAGTCATATGACGATTCATCTCTTTAGTTCTTCTCGCTGAGCCAGTCTTCTCTCAGCTGTGAGGGAAGCCAGGCCAGAGCCGTGCCAGAGTGGCTGCGCTGCAGGCTTGGTGGTGCCCGGCATTCTGTAGCACCCAGAATGAGAGCAGCTCATTGGGAAAAAAGAAAGACAGAAAGTGGCGCACACAGCGGTAAAATTTGGTACCAAGAAACCTCCAACTCACTGCCATTGAGACGATGCTGACTCCTAGTGACCCTATACGACAGGGTAGAACTGCCCCTGTGGGTTTCCGAGACTGGAACATATTTACCAGTCAGAATTTAACTGTAAAGATCCCTCCCTTCGCTATCTTTCTACTCACTCCTACATGCATAGATCATCAGTGTCAGGTATCTTGGGGACACAGTGGATTAAGGATTTATTAGGCTACTAATCTGCCAGCTGCCATCTACTCCTACAGCTTTGCCATCTAGGAAACCCTAAGAGGCAGCTCAACTCGGTTCTATGGTATCACTCTGTGTCAAAATCGACTCATGGTGGGTCCCTATTTTATTCAATGGGTTACTATACTTACTAATTTTGATTTTTAAATTGTACTTTAATTGTTTAAAGTACTACACTTACTGTACTCATTAATTTTGCTGTTTAAAATGACTATATTTTGCCAAAGGGAGACATGACCCTGTAGTTTTTTTTTTTTTAAGTACTTCCTTGTTTTCTAGCATCCTTTCTTTCTGGCCTAAGACCCCAGGCTCATTTTGTCCCTTTCATGACCCAAAGCCTAGCATTAGGCCATTTTTCCAACATGCTTTGGTTCCTTTTGTTGGACGATGGTATTTAGAAATAAAGATCCAGGCTTGACATACGATCATCATTCCTGCGGGTGTGATTCCTACAAACACACATCTTCACACACTTACCTCTAATTACTATACAAAGTCAAGCCAGTGCTACTGTTTACCTTCTGTGTCAGCCCTTGTGGCTGCTGCTTGGTCTTCTTCCAACCAAACTTTTGGGTCAGTTGCATAGCATACGTGACCTCACCTATTTTTTCCCCTACATTCCAAAAGTCTCTTTAGAAATAATACCTGTATATCAGGCATCAAAGACCCAGAACAAAAATCATATCAATGTGAATGAGGGAGATGGCGGAGTGGAGACCCAAAGCCCATCTGTAGACAATTGGACATCCCCTTACAGAAGGGTCACAAGGAAGAGACGAGCCAGTCAGGGTACAGTATAGCACTGATGAAACATACAACTTTCCTCTAGTTCTTCATACTCTTCCCCCCCCCCCCCCCCGCTATCATGACCCCAATTCTACCTTACAAATCTGGCTAGACCATAGCATATACACTGGTACAAATAAGAGCTGGAGACACAGGGAATCCAGGACAGATAAACCCCTCAGAACCAATATTGAGAGTAACCATACCAGGAGGGAAAGGGTAAGGTGGAGGGAGGAAGGGGAACTGAAACAGAAGTGGGTAAAGGGAGAGATCAGTCAGTGTAAAAAATGAAAAAAATTATAAATTATCAAGGGTTTGTGAGGGAGGGGGGAAATGAGCTGATACCAAGTTCTCAAGCAGAAAGAAAATGTTTTGGAAATAATGATGGCAACATGTAAACAAATGTGCATGACACAATGGAGGTATGTATGGATTGTGATGAGAGCTGTAAGAGCCTCCAATAAAATGATTTTAAAAAAGAAATGATACCTGTAATTTCTTAGTTAACTACTTTTTTAATAGTTTCTATGATTTTCAACAAAGAATGTGTAGTTATCACATAGTCCAGACAAATTGCATTTATTTATTTATTTTCTTCCTTAAAAATTATTTTTTAATCATTTTATTGGGGGCTCATACATTAAAATTATTTTTTAAGTTTTATTAGTACTTCATCCACATGTCACACAATTCAATATTCAATCATATCAAGAAAAGTTGTACAGCTGTCACCACCTTCAATTCTAGAACATTTTCTTCTTCCTTGTACTCATTGTTATTCATATAATTATTTTTCTCTAATTGTGGGAAAAATATATACAACAGAGCATTCTCCAATTTCACAACTTCTATTTTTATAATCTAGTATCATTGACTATACTCTTCGTGTGGTACAATCATTATTGATATTCTTTTCCAAATCATTCTACCACCATTGATATAAACTCAATGCCCTCTACGCACAAATTTTCCTTATTTCACAGCTTTGCCCAAGAGTCAGACCTGATACACATTGGTGTATTTGACTATTGAGTAGGAAAAGCTTCCCATCTCCACAGATTTAGAGAACTATAGATAAGTCTATGACTCTCTCCTCTCTTTGTCATTGAAGCCCAGCAGATCAACTACTAACATATGCCCGAGTAGAGAGGCAACTCCACAGCAAAAGAACTCTGTAAAGTGTCAAAAAGCAAAGTGATCCCTTTGAAGACTATGCTGCACCTGACCAAAGCCAGGGTTTTGATTGCCTCCTGTACACGTGAAAGCTGGGCATTGAAGAAGCAAGACTGAAGAAGAGTTGCTGATTGTGAGTGACGGTGCTGGCACAGAAGAATGACTGTGGACCATGAACCGCCGGAAGAATGAACAAGCCTCTCTGGGATGAAGTCCAGCAGAATGCTCCGTAGAAGCAAGGATGGGGAGACTTTGTATCTCATGCTTTGGACGTGTTCTCAGGAGAGACCAGCCCCTGGAAAATGACATCTTTCTTGGTAAAGTAGAGGGGCCGCATAAAAGAAAAGACTCTCAATGAGATGGACAGACACCGTGGCTACGACAATGGGCTCAGACATAAGAACAGCTGTGACTCTATGGCATTAACATTTACAACCATGTTATGATAATCCAAAGTAATAAGTTTGGCATACTGCTAAAATCTCTTGTTTTCCATTTCTTTTTCAGGTATCAATGGCTATGTTTTTAATAGTTTGCAGTTGTCCGTTTGTTTACATGAGGTGGCATACTGGTATATACTAAGTGTTGGAGCACAAACTGACCTTCTATCTGTCTTCTTCTCTGGATATACCTTTAAACACGAAATGGTCTTTGAAGATACACTTACCCTATTCCCATTCTCAGGAGAAACTGTCTTCATGTCAATGGAAAACCCAGGTTAGTCTATATATGTTATATGCCCACTATAAGATTAGAGTCATGTAGTAATACTATCTGTTTCACTCACCATCATATGCTCTTTTGCCCACAAGTTCATATCTGAGCAATTACTCATCAGTGCCAGTGCATTGGCAAGCACACGGCATTTTATTTGCAGTACAAACCCAAAGATGTCACTTAAAGTCCTTGCTGTGAAAAATGTCTTTACGCTGCATAAGCCCAAGTTTTAATTGCGCTTTTTAAACTAGTGGTGAGCATGCATTGTATGTAAACCACACGGAATAAAAATAACGGTGTTCCTCTAAGGCATGATCACGATGAAATGCACCATGCGGCAGGGAGTACTTAGCTGCCTGTAGTGAGTCTCTAAATCTTATGGCTTTTCTGGAGCATAGGAGAAGATTTGGGTAATAAAGAGTAATCTCTTCACCTATAAACATATTCACCCTCATAACCCCAAACTAATATTCCTTAAAGTGAGGCTTTTGTGGGAAGTGAGTGAACAGGAACCTGGCAGAAGCCTTATAACATCGGCTACTTGAAAACATCCAGAACTATGCTTAGAACACCTTTCACGGTCCCAGTGACCATCTTACTGGGCAGTCCCACAGATGAAAACCAATGTACTGAAGCCATCAGAATAACCAGCACTGCTGGCCCTTGTACTTCGGATCTCAATTCACCAAATACCATTTTCATCTCTCAGAGTGAAAGAGATTAAAGAGAAGAAATATCTGTTATTGGCAAAGGGTTTAATGCCAATGGCATTGACAAACCATTCTAACACATGGTTTTCTTTATACATTAAATTCTTTTTCTTTAAAAGGAGTGAATTGTGTATAGGAGGTTAAATGCTTTACAGACAAGAAAAAAATGCTCTAGAACCAACGTATTCATCATCATCATCTTCATCTTCTTCCTCCCTTTCATCTTCCTCATCTTCATCCTCTTCTTCCTCCTTCTTTTTATTGCTTTTCTCAGCCTTGACAACTCCCTTTTTGGCAATACATGGTTTTAAGGAATGTAAATTGATAGACTTTCCGGAGATTGATTTGGAAATAGATAGAAAGGCCTAAAAACATATATGTTAATTGGACCAAACAGTTTTTTTTTCTTATTGTCTAATTTCTTTTTTTTTTAATCGTTTTATTAGGGGCTCACACAACTCTTAATACAATCCATATATACATCAATTGTGTAAAGCACATTTGTACATTCATTGCTCTCATCATTCACAAAACATTTCCTCTCCACTTAAGCCCCTGGCATTTTTGTTTTTTAACATTTTATTAGGGGCTCATACAACTGTTATCCCAATCCATACACACATCAATTGTGTAAAGCGCATTTGTACATCGTTTCTCAAAAC